GTCATCAATGCCATTGTGGACCCCAATGTCAATCTGGACCTGCTGACAGGAAACAGGGCTTCCACAGGTCTGGCCCCGCAAGGGCTGGGGAAGGGCCGGGCAGCAGCCCAGAGTCCCTGTTCGCCTGCCTTGGTGGAGCCCTTGCTGCCAGCCCTGCCCCTGAGGAGCTTCCCACAACGGGCCAACTGCGGGCCCCCCAGCCTCCCAGAGCCTGCCTTCCTCCCCGACGCCGAGCAGTTCCTGATCTAGGCGCGGGGCAGGTGGGGCCTTCCCCTGTGCGTGTGTGTCCTGTGGCTGCATCCACCATGTGGCCACCTGCCCGGCCAGGTGGCTCTCTGTGAAAACCCCGTATGTGCCATAACCCCCTGGGGCAGGTGCCTCTGTGCCAACCCCTCGCCCAGCCGTGCCAGGCCCGGCTCTGGGTGTGGGCACTGCAAGGGCAGGCCCTGAGGGCACATACCCACCCCTCACCATCACCATTGTTTCTGTTGTTAGCTTTAAAGGAAAGAGTAGTGTGTGCCATCACAGCGCCTCTGCGGCCTGAGCCAGGGCCGCCTCCATGGGGCTGCATGCCGTCGGACGCAGGCAGGGAGGAAGGCTGCGCGCTGGGGTCGCTCAGAGCTGAGTGGGAGCTGGGGAGAGCTCGGGTGTGGCCTAGGACCGCCCAGAAGGAGGGGTGCTGCCCAGCCAACCGCCTGAGCTAAGAGTGGAGCTGCCCAGTCCAGCAGCCTGAGTGGACAGATGGCCCATGGAGACATTAGGGCCAGAACCCCAGGACTGGTCCCTGCTCCCCATACAACTGCCAAATCCACCGCACGGGCGGCCTGGGCAGAGCCCTGCAGAGTAGGCTCCATGGTGGGTGGCGGCTCCACCCCAGGCCCCTCTCCACACCGCAGCCGAGCAGCAGGACCAGGGTCCCCAGCAGGCAGGGTGAGGCCCGGCCAAAGTGACTGGAAAGCAGGATTCTGGGGCTCCCATCTGGCCTCCCTCCTGCCCCTGGGACACAATGTGTAATACGCGGGCATCTGCCACGGGCTTCTGCAACCCTAGCCCTGCGGGGCAGGCAGGGGCAGCCCCGGCACCGGCAATGCGTTCTCAGGACTCTCAGCTGGCTGTGCCAGGCAGGCCGACAGCGCCCCTCTGCTCTTGCCCCTGTGGGGTGGCCAGTGTTTCCGGAGGCATGAAGCCAAAGAGCCTGTTTGCTGTGGGGGAGGGGTCCCCTCCACCCGGTTGGTGTGGGTGTGCCATGTTTGTGCGGGGTTGGACCCGTGCCCATCTGCAAGGGACTCGGGGCCTCCCTGGGGGCGCGGTCTCCCTGTTTACATTGAGCTGCCACAGCCCACCTGATGTTTACGTGTGTGCGGGAGGGGGTGGTGGGGGAGGCTGGTGGCAGGTCTTCACCGGAAAGCCTGCTGTCTGTGGAGGAGGTGCTGGCCCGGCCCGTGGTGTACCACCGCCCTGCGTGTCTGTGTGGCCTCGTGTCCCCAGCCGCGGTGGCTGGTCACCGTCGGTCACGCCTCCCTCCCTGTGCACGGCTGTACATTTTCAATGCACAATGAGTGTTTCTCCTGTGTCAGGCCCCTGGTCCTGTGCCCCCGGGGCTGCGGCCTGCTTGGATTTGTAGAGGCGTCTGTACATTCTCAGGTGGTCTTGTGGATGTCTTTCAGAAAATGATTATTTTATATGATTTGTCATGGAGTTTGTTCAAATAAACCATTCTTCTATCTCACAGCAGCACAATAGCGCCTGCCGTGTGGGACCTCTTCCTTGGGGGACAGCGTCCTCCGTGGGTCCTCTCCACAGGGGACAATGGCGGGGTGGGCATGGCCCTGGGCCTGAGGAATCTCCTCTGCTGGAAAGCCATGCTGCAGGTTAGAGGTGCTGCCACCAGGTGGCAGCCTAGGCACGATTGCAGAGCAGATGTTTGCTCCTTAAGAAGCCACGGGCTTGGTGGCCCCAGCCTCCCAGCTACTCAGGAAGCAGAGGTGAGCAGGGCAGGGTCTGAAGCCAGCGAGGCCTTCTTGGGGATGCGGTATACATGAGCACTCCATCCCGAGCTGCATGTGGTGTACATGAGCACTCCATCCCGAGCTGCATAAACCGGGCAGCAGGAAGTAGGTACAAGGTGTGTGCAGGGAGCCCTTTGCCACCATCTCCTCTGTGGCTAGAAAGAGCCTGGTGCCCCACCATCAGACACCCAGGCTCTCAGCGGGGCAGTCAGCCTCTGTGGACGTGGGGGCCCGCACGGCCACGAAGCCCGCTGAGCCCACGTGGCTGGGCACGCAGCGTGGAGCTGGCCGGAGGGCCTCAGACACCGCGCCCTGGAAAATGAAGCAGGAAGCGTGTACATGCAAGCCTATAGCCAGCGTTACTCTGCATGGGGCCAGGATGAGAAGTGCTGCTCAGTGTAGCACAAGAAAAAGGATGCAGCTGGCACCCAAGGCTCACGCTGTCATCCCAGCGACTCAGGAGGCTGAGATCGGAGGACCCCAGTTCAAAGCCAGCCCGGGCAGGAAAGTCTGTGAGACTCTTCAACAAATCACTAGAAAACTGGAAGTGGTGCTGTGGCTCACGTGGTAGAGCGCTCGCCTTGAGCTGAAGGGCTGAGGGACAGCACCCAGGCCGAGTTCAAGTCCTGTGACTGACCAAAAAAAAAAAAGGATGCAGATCAGAAAGGAAGAAGCCAATCTGTCCTCATTGCAGACAATGTTGTAAAGACTTAAGAGACTTAAAGATTCCCCCAAAACTCTTGGATGTGACCTGTGCTTTCCACAAAAGATCAGGGCACAAAGCCAGCATATACAGCGTCTGTGACTTTCCTACGTACCAGCAACGAGCAGGCTGTGAAGAAGTGTGCAGAAAAACTCCATTGACAGTTGCCTCACTAAACGACATAGGATTAAATCTGAAGAGTGAAAACCTCCACAAGGAAAAGTGAAAAAATACTGGAGAGAGCGCTGATAAAGACCCCAGAAGACGGGAGGAATCCCGCGTTCACGCGCCGGCAGGACGTGAACCTTGTGAAAATAAATACACCACTGAAAGCAGCCTACAGACCAATGCAGCCCCCACAAATACTCCAATGCGATCGTTCCCAGAAATAGGAAACTTCCAAAATTATATGGAAGTACAAAAGATTCCAAGTAACCAAAGCAATCCTGAGCAAAAAGAGAAATGCGGTTGATACCACAATACCTGACTTCATACCATGTTATAGAGCCCTAGTAACAAAAACAGCATGGTATTGGCAGATGAACAGGTAACCCAATGGAACAGAATATACAATCCAAAAATAAGCCTACGCAGCCACAGCCACCTGATTTTCAACAAAGACTTCAAAATCATCCATGGGAGAAATGACAACAGCTTCAACCAGTGGTGTGGAGGAAACGGACTATCCCCCTGTAGAGGCCGAAGCACACCCCTGCCTCCATCCTGTGCACACAAAGTGGGTCAAAGCTTGACGTGAACGGATGATGAAGAGGAAACCAGAGGGACGAGCCCTGGAGACAGCCAGGACGGGTCGGGAGCCTCAGAAGAGGCTCGATGGCTCAGGAAGCAAGAGCAAGAACGGGTGACTGGGCTGCACGCAGTTAAAGAGCTTCTTCCCAGCAAATTGACTAGAATTAAAAGCCTACAGAATTCGGGGAAATCCCTGTCAGATAAGGGATTAATACCCATATTGAAGAGTCCCAAAAATCAGCAAAGACAACCCAATTAATAAATGAGCAAGTGAACAGACAGACCTTGAAGGAACAGGTGTGGGAGACGTGAGGGTCAAGTGGAAGAGAGCCTGCACAGCAGCTCAAGGCCCTGAGTTCAAACTCCAGACTGACACCCCCTCCCCCGAAACACAAATGACCAGTAAACACAGGAGAAAATGTTCAACAGCTTTTCTTTTTTGATCTGAGATCAGGACTCAAACTCGGTACCTGATGCTTTTGCTCATTGGATAGTGCTCTTTAAAGTGAGCCACACCTCCAACACCAACATTTTTAGTGGTAAAGGAAATGCAAAACTACATGGGGCCAGGCACCAGTGGCTCACACCTGCAATCCTAGCTACTCTGGAGGCTGAGGTCTGAGGATCACAGTTCGAAGCCAGCCTGGGCAGGAAAGTCTGTTAGGCTGCTACATAATTAACCACCAAGAAGCCAGAAGTGGAGCTGTGGCTCAAGTGGTAGAGCTCCAAGCCTTGAGCAAAAAAAGCTCAGGGACAGTGCTCAGGACTGGCGCACACACAAAAATAACACCCCCACTTCAGGCCTCCAAACCCCAGTACATTGAGACCCCATCCCACCTCAGTCACAAAGACCATCATCGAGAAAACAAATGCTGGGCGGATGTGGGGAAGGCCCCTCACCCTGCTGGTGGGCGTACAAACCAGGCAGGTCGCTGGAAATCAGTGCAGTTCCTCCAAAGGCTGGAACTAGAATGATCCAGTGGGGCTGCAGCGTGTCTGCTGGGCACTCATCCAAAGGGACATAAGTGTACAAGAGATAACTGCACACCCTCGTCGGCTGCCGCACCAAGCACAAGAGCCGGCCATGGAAGAACAGTGAGGTGTCCATCCGCGGCTGAATAGATGAAGAAAATACTTAAAATTTTTTTTTGTCGGTTGCAGGGCCTGAACTCTGGGCCTGGGCGCTGTCCCTCCGCTCTTCAGCTCAAGGCTAGTGCTCTACGATTTGATCCACAGCGCCACTTCCGGCTTTTTCTGTGTATGTGATGCTGAGGAATGGAACCCAGGGCTTCATGCATGCAAGGCAAGCGCTCTACCACTGAGCCACCTTCTCAGCCCCATGAAGAAAATTTACACCCCCCCCCCATGCACACGAGTATTACTTAGACATAAGGAAGAATGAAATCATGTTGTTCACAGGAAAATGGATGGAACTGGAGAGCATGTTAACGGAAAAAAGCCAGACCGAGGAAGACAAACACTGCCGTCTTCCTCACGTGGGGTCTGTGAGTGACAGAACATTAGTGTAAGCGGGGGTTTAATTGTGGTAGAAATCAGCCAGAGGAGGTGCCTGGGGGCTGGGGATGTGGTCACCACACTTCCTGTGTGTGTGTGTGTGTGTCAAATAGAATTCTGAAGCCAGGGACACTGGTAGCTCACGCCTGTCATCCTAGCTACTCAGGAGGCTGAGATATGAGGATTGCAGTTCAAAGCCAGCCCGGGCAGGAAAGTCTGTGAGACTCTTATCG